TTCCCCAGATCTGACTGGCGCGGGGTCTTGCCTGCTTGGAAATATGAAGCCCTCCAACTGTGGCAACTACGTACCGAAAGCCTGAAGGAAAAATAAGAAAGTGCCATACTAGAAACAGGAGATACAACCCGGAGAGAGCCCTGGTTTCCATCCTAGCCATTGAAAAGGGAGGGCTTGTTTGCATCGGAGTGCTTCTCCTTGCAAGGATGCTGAGTGCTTGCAGGCTGCGGTGACTCCTGCTGCGACTGTGGCTGCTTGGTGTCTCTGAAGACCAGTCCCACGGAGGATCACCTTGCCATGAAGCTGCAGGACATTTGGTCATGCCGTATTCTGCAGATTGCAAACCCACTGGAGAAACTGGTGCAGGGAGGTTGGACCACCCTTTTCCTGACAGCCGCCACCATTTCTTGCTGGGGGTCACTGTGGGGAGGTGTAGTCCAGCACGTTGCTCACCTTGTGCTGCCTGGAGATCGTTGGTCCTGAGATGGGTTGGAGCAGGCGTGTGTGCAGAGCCGGGCAAGTGAGGCAGCAGCTCAGAGCAGGCTGTAGGTCTGAGCCCCCATTGAGTCCCCTGCAGCAAAAACAATTTGTGCATTGTTGTGGCCTTAAAGCACCCATGAATATATTTATTCTGAAGCATCTATAGAGAGCCATAAGGCTGCAGAGCACTTTGCAAATGACAGAGCAGGAACCCACCACTGCTGTCCCCAAAAAGCAGTGTCTCCCACCCTCTACAAATGCTGAGGCAGGGAGCAGTGGCTGGGTGGCCATGGGAGCAGAGAGGGGAGATGGTACCTTTGCAAGTTTAGGAGCAGGAGGGTGTTTTGTGCCTGGCTTGTCCAATGGCTGTGAATAAACTGCTAACTTTGGACGTTCTCTTTTCCTCCACCAAAAAGTGGAGGGTGCTTTGGCAAAGCTTCTTAAGACCCACAGATAGAAATGTCCTTTGAGAGAGTCAAGTATTATTACAATTGGTCCTTTGCTAAGGTTGCACTCAAATTTGGGTGAGCGCTCCTCAAGGTATGGCCTGAGATTTTCCTGAGGTGTGTAAGGAGAGGGCAGCGATGGGAAAGCCAGGACAAGGTGACTTTGTACCCATGGCCTGCTGACTGGTGTGGACCATCCCAAAAAGAGTCTAACCTCTTCTTCAAAGCTTCCAGAGAGGCAGACTCCGTGCCCTCCCCAGCCCAATAATAATGTATAAAATGATTTGCACAAGCCTCCCCAGGCAGAGAGGGGAAGGAAAGCAGGAAGATCATCTACTGGTTGGTCAGGTGGTGGGAGCTTTGAGCCTTGCCCACAGCCAAAGCTCAGCAACCACCAAATCGTACAACCGTGCTATGAGCACTGCTGGAGAAGTTGATGTCTTTGCTTAGACCCCAAGAAATGCCGGACTCAGTGAAGAGAGATAAAAGTGGATCCATCCCTCCTTGGCCATAGCATGGACCCACTGTGGGCCAAACCCACTTCTAGGGTCCTGGTAGACTTTCCCATAGCAGACCCCTCCTTGTACATCCCTGAGCAGAGCTCCTGACTACAAACCACATTAAACCCAAGAACAGGAGCCACTGCCAACATCCAAAGGGGTTTTTGCATGCCAGGTCTCACAGTATGCCATTGCTACGTTGCTGATTGCTGGGGTAGAGTTCTTGCTGCAGATACCTCGCTGGGTATTGATGTACCACAGTAAATAAAAGTCTAGTCGACAGGATTCCCCTTAAGGACTGAGGCTGTGCGTGTCTTCTTCATGCCCTTTTTGGAAGCTGCCCCAATCCTGCACGCAGTACAACAACACCCACCAATTTTCAAGTCACTGTTGGTATTTTTGAGCACCTTTTTGTCTCCTGTAAAAAGTAAAATGAACATTTACTTTCTTTTCTCGTGGTGTGAAATGTTTAATGGAGCATTGGGCAGTTTGTGTAGTTTGGGGAGGGGTTTGAAGCTGGTCAGAGGAGGGGAAACAATCCCCCGGTAGATCCTTGTGTGGATCCTCCTTTCCATCAGAGCTGGGGGTGGGAGCTGAGTGGGGCAGTGTGATCTCTCTCTGCTGCGGGGAAGATGAGCCTCTTTATACTAGTCACTGAAACTCTCTCTACACAGCTTAAGCATCCCATAAAAGCTTTCGGATACACCACTCTGTCCCATCTCCCAGGGAATTTCATCCCAGTTTGTACCATAGTTCAGCAGATGATTGGCACAGCGGGTCCCTCCCTCCCCTTCCTGAGCGGGCAAGTTCCCAGAAGAAGAGCCCCAGCTTGGAGAAATCGGTGTCTACCAATTCCTCCTTCTAATTGGGGTCATTTCTCCAGGGTCACAGGTGCCTTTCCTCTTAATTAGCCACTGAAGAAAAATGAGAAAAGCCCTAAACCAGGTTCAGGAAATGAACCTGGTGTTTCTGGGCTCCAAATTTACCTGCCTCTGGGCCCTTTCTCTGTAAATTTGTCCCACTGAAGGGTGTTACAGCTCCAGATTTTGGGAGCCCCTAAGCAAAAAGTAGCACAGTTGGGTGAATGAGGAGAAGTGGTCTCCGCTGCCTCAGTGTCACACAACCAAGTTGAGTCCGGGACTCAGTGGGATCATGGGATGAGTGGTCCATGGCATGCTCTCCAGCATCCACTGAGGAGGGATGGAGATGTCTGGGGAGGTTTTCTGGGAGTGGGTGGGAGCCGTGGACCTCAGTCTCATGATGATCTCCTGGAAGGGTCTGGCTCTAGCTACTGCTGGGATTTGTAGATGTGCCCCAGGTTAATCCTTTAGGTAATACGTAGCATCAGGTCACAGGCAGGGGCTGTGCTGTGTGCCTTGACATGTGGTGTCCCTATAGGTACTGCATTCAGAGCTGCCACCTCTCCCCAAAACCCAGGGGAGTCACCGACACCTTGGTTAGTGAAGGTACTGGAGGGATCCTTGGCCTGGGTGGGATGCTGTGCTCTGGGAGGAGCTGGCGGGAGGAACTTGATGCTTGAGCTCACACCTTGCACTTTGGCAAGTTGAGGACAGATCTCAGGCTCTGGAGATCAGGCTCCTCTCATTTCCCCTTGGGTCGGTGTAGAAACACGATCAGACCTTGCTCCTGGATCCTGCTCTGCATGAAGCCTGACCGCTTTTGCGACCTTCAGTGGCAGAGGGTGTTTTCAGTGCTGTCCCCAGATAAGGGGATGGGGACCGGTATCTCCTGCCACCACTGACCGTAATGGCAGGTCTCAGAACCAGCCAGCGGGAAGCTGTTGCTACCAGCTCTGGCTGACAAGCTGCCTCTAATCAATGCTGTAATCATTTCTAAGCCCACATTAATAGCAAGTTGATGAGCACAATGGTCCTCTATGACAATTCATTAGGAAGAGCTCCAGTCAGAGGGGATCGATGGGGACTGATGGAGGGCTGTCTGACCTTTCCTGGCGCTCTCCCAGAGGGAGCCCAGGGCATTGTTGTTAGCACTCCTGGAAAACACCAAACCCTCCAAAAGAGGCTTCTTTTCATGGCTCTATCTGCTCTGCTTCTATTGATCCAGACAAATCAAGAGTGCCAGTGAGCGTGCAGGGCTGATGGCATCATTAATATTTCAATATCGGAGCAGTGAAGCCCTGGGCTGGATCATTGCTGGTAGCTAAGGATTCAGGGGGCTCTCCAGAGAGAAGTCTTTCTGCAGGGTTACGGCTTCGTGAAGGTAGCCAGAAAAAAAAAAAAAAAAAAAAAAAAACAAAAAAAAAACAAAGCAGAAGGCTCCAGCAGCTGGACAAGGGCCAAGGCACAGTGCAGGGGGTCTCACCATGGCCCAGCACTTCCTGAAGAGCCTCTTTCCATGCCACGTAGCTCTGTCCTGTCCTATCCCACGCCAACACTCACAGCTGTCTCCACAGGACAGTGACTGTTTGGTGTGCTGGAACATAATTTTCCACGTGAGCACCTTGGGGTTTTTTCCTCATTTAGGTTATGATGCTTTGGGAGCAGGTAAGTAAAGAAGCAAAGGTGTGGACAGTCAGTCACATTACTGCAGCTTAATTGGTCAGTACTTGGCAACTATCATCACAGCCGACCCTGGCCATGAAGTAAAACCATGTTGCCTTCACCCTCAACAAAAGCTAAGCTGTGTAAGCAAGTTCCTTGCTGTGTGACCCTGTGTCCTTGTTCTAAATAAAATGCAGATCCTCCTAGATGTAGCGTCTGTGCATGGTTGTACCCATTTCTGTCCCAACTATTGGGTGGATTTTCCATCCCAAGCAAAGCTGGTGGTGCCTGCAGCCATGAAGGACTGTGGACTTTGGCAGTTATCCTTTGCTTGTGCCTGTCCCACTGGCAGTGCAGATGGCAGTTGACACCAAACGTATGCTCCCTCAGCCCCCCAGCTGCTCTAGGGTTTCTTTCACCCCAGGCCCATTTTTCTGTCTGTCAGCAAGTCACCTCCCTGTGCTTGCTTGGATGAGTTTAGTAGGTCTTGACAGGAAAGAATGGAGACCTTGTGGGGATGAGAATCTCACTTTTTCCACTTTTATTTAGCAGACTAGATGTACACAGAGCATCTGGTCCCCGTTCATTGCCACCAATTAGATGATTACAACACTTGGGCTAGTCAAGTCACACCAGAATCAAGTAAGAGAATCAGAGAAGGTGAGCTCTTTTAGGGGTACCCTACTGACACTAAAATGAACAAAAATGTGGTCATAAAAATAACCATCCCTGGTCAGACCAAAGACTCTTCTGCTCCAATAGCCTGTCTACAGCAGTAGATGGCAGCAGATGTCCAGGGTAGAATTATAAGAAAGAGGAAAAGGATCTTTATCTCCAACTTCCAAGGCATGAAGTCTAAGCTATTCCACTACATGTTAATCTAGTCTGCGTTGGAGGAACCAGGTCCAAAATCTGGCCCCAACAGGCTGTAAGCAAGTCCATCCCCCTCATATTCTTCCTTGTCTTTGATATTGTCTACATTAGTTCCAGGATGGGAGTCAAATCCAGCAAAAAAGGGAATAACCTAGGTGCATGTGCCTCCTATCTTGCAGGTCATCCCAGACTGGAAGGAGCAGGAGTGGAATCCCGAGAAACCCGAGAGCTACGTGGGGATCTTCCACTTCCAGTTCTGGCGTTTCGGTCAGTGGCTGGATGTGGTGATAGATGACCGCCTGCCCACACTCCACAACCAGCTCATCTACTGCCACTCCAACTCCAGGAATGAGTTCTGGTGCGCCTTGGTGGAGAAGGCTTATGCCAAGTAGGTACCCAGGCAATTGCAGGACAAACTGGGACCTGGGCACCCTGTTTTTCCTCTCTGTTCATTCATCAGTTGGTTTGCACCAAGTGGAAACAAAAGCTTTCCTGGGGAGGAGCAGGACATATCTCAAACAGACAGAAACTGGAAGAAAAAATCCTTCTCTAGCCTTAATTTACCCTCAAAGCAAAATATCCTCCAACTCTATGTTTGTTTAAGTAACACCTATCCTAGAGATTTCAAGTTCCTTTTACTTTGTCGTATGACAGCAAGTGCTGTAAGCAGCATGGGTCTTATTTTTTCACACTGGTTTACTATTCTAACCCAGTGAAAGTTTTATTACAAATCTCTGTTCTCCAGGCTGCCCCAAGAACTGTCTGAGACCCTTTAAAATGTCAAGCCAGTGTTGTTGTGCCATCGCTGTCACCCTCTTTCAGGTTGTCAGGCTGTTATGAGGCCCTGGATGGAGGCAACACAGCTGATGCCCTGGTAGACTTTACTGGTGGGGTCTCTGAACCTATCGACCTGACCGAAGGGGATTACATTGCTGATGAAGCCAAGCGAAACCTCCTCTTTGAACGTGTGTTGAAGGTGCACAACCGGGGAGGCCTCATCAGCTGCTCCATCAAAGTAAGCAATGTTACCTGTATGGTCACGGTCTCATGGGAATAGGCATTTTAGGATGCAGTTGTCTTACACAGTCAGAGACTTCTGAATTAGATCAGATAAATCACGGCCAAGGGTTCATACTTCTTGTGGTTGGCAAAAGGAGTCAAGCCTGGATGCCAGCCCACTGTATTCCTCATTGCTACGTCCAAGAGTCCAGATTCATGCCACCACCTTTTAAATGTTAGGAGAGGATTCACTTCCAGAGAAAAGCGTTTCGCTGTTTGCATGTGGACATCTCTACAAGCACTGGGTGCCAGGCCTCCCGTTACAACCAGTAGAACCAGCTTTATTGGTTGACAGTATGGGTGCTCAGAGACCTCATACAGTAGACGAAGACCAGGAAGGGTCTAGTACCTCAAATGGCATCTGCTACATCTGCTAAGGCAGCTGGCTCTCTCCTTGAGTATAGGTGCTCTTCTTTTTGGCGCAGAGGAACATGCGGGGAAATCTGAGCTCCTTTATTTCCCAGTCCCTGCAAAGGTGGTCACATCCCCCTGGTGATGAGCACTCTCTGTGTCGCCCTGCCCAGGCCACATCAGCAGCTGACATGGAGGCGCGTCTGGCCTGCGGACTGGTGAAGGGCCATGCATATGCAGTGACGGATGTGCGGAAGGTCCGCCTGGGTCACGGCCTGCTGTCCTTCTTCAAGTCAGAGAAGCTGGACATGATTCGCATGCGCAACCCGTGGGGCGAGCGGGAGTGGAACGGCCCTTGGAGTGACACGTGAGTTAGGATGGGCAGCAGCGGCACCTTTCCTTTGGTGAGAGAAGCTGGGTTGGAGCAAGCCTTGAGGCATGAGGCAATTTGACTGCATCCACACCTGTAGGATGACGTTCACAGAATCATTAAGGTTGGAAAAGACCTTTAAGATCATCAAGTCCAACCATCAACCCCACACCACCATGCCCACTAAACCATGTCCTGAAGTGCCACGTCCACACGTTTTCTGAACACGTCCAGTGGTGGTGACTCCACCACCTCCCTGGGCAGCCTATTCCAATGGGCAGTTGTGAGATGATGCTTTCAACCCATGTCCTAAACCTACTGTTTCACTGGGGTAGATTCATTCCTTGCCCTGGGATCCCTGGAGGTCAGCAGGAGGGTGGCTAAGCATGGCAGACCTTCTCATTAAGGTCTGGTGGGTGTTGTGGTGAAATTGCTAGCATGTTCACACTAATGAAGGATGATTGTAGTTCACCTTTCCACTTCCAGTCTTGTTCCAGCAAAAATAGCACCCAACAGAATGAGCCTCTGCCACCACTGGCTGCTGTGGTGTCTGTGGATAGGGTGAAGAGCCAAGGGCTGGTGTAACCAGAGCCTTTGGCCAGAGTCCATTTTGTTATCTTCACTGATAGGGTTGTGATTGTACTGGCCAAACAAAGTCTTGCCAAGCTGGATTCAGCTGCACTGATCAGGAAGGAAGTTGAAGCCAAGCCATGCTACATTCCTGCCATGTTTGGAAGATGAGCTAACCAGAGCAGCATGGGGACTGGTTGCATGGCTGGAGCTTTATACAGGCCTTATGCCCTTGGCAGATTCTGCTGAGGTCAAGTAGCCTCTTGAATTCTTGTGTGTCCCCTTGCCCTCACAGTAATGATCCTGTACTCTTCCCACAGCTCTGAAGAGTGGCAGAAAGTGAGTAAAAGTGAGAGAGAGAAGATGGGGATGACAGTGGAAGATGACGGAGAGTTCTGGTGAGTTCCGCCGGGGGTTGTCACCACGGGCCATGCCCAAAGAGTCCTTCCACCCCATGAAGGATGTATGTGAGTCATTTCCATGCAGACAGCTATTCAGAGCAAAGGGCCTTCCAAACCCTAGCATCTTTAGTGAAGCCTCCTCCTTAAGCCCTTGGGTATTAGCTTTGAATGGCCATGACCCTAGGATTGCAAGCTGCTCGGTATCACACTCGGTCCAAACCATTTCACCAGGGTACTGGGAAACAGTTACGAAATTGCTGAACTCAGCAGCCTCACCAGGTATGTTTCAATGCAACATGTACCCATGTGTGGAGGAAGGGCCACTACTCTGTTTCTCCCACTCCAAAACGCAGAGCTCTGTTGTTTAAACTGACGAAGAAGTATTTACTGCATGCTGTGGTGGGCTGACCCTGGCTGGACACCAGGTGCCCACCAAAGCCGCTCTATTACTCCCCTCTTCAGCTGGACGGGAGAGAGAAAATATAATGAGAAGCTCATGGGTCAAGATAAGGACAGGGAGAGATCAGTCAGCAGTTACCGTCACGGGCAAAACAGACTCAACCTGGGGAAATTAGTTTAATTTATTGCCATCAAATAACCAGAGCAGGATAATGAGAAATAAACCCAAAT